TGGAACATTCCATATTCTGTGCTATCCCATATTCTGTGGTATCCCACACTCTGTGCCACCCCACACTCTCGAACACCCCATATTCTGTAATATCCCATATTCTGGATTATCCCATATTCTGTAACACCTCATATTCTGTAAAGCTCATACCCTGCAACATCCACATTCTGAGGTATCCCATACTCTAATATCCCATATTCTCTGGTATCCCATATTTTGTGACACCCCGCACTCTGTAACGCTCCATATTCTGTAATATCCCATACTCTGGGGTATCCCACTCTTTAATATCCCATATTCTGTAACATCCTACACTGTCTAACACCCCATATTTTGTAATATTCCATATTCTGTGGTATTCCCATACTCTGTAACACCCCAAATTCTGCAATATCCCATATTCTGTAATACCCTACACTCTGTAATGCCCCATATTCTGCAATAACCCATATTCTGTGGTATCCCATACTCTGCAACACCCCACACTCTCTAATGCTCCACATTCTGTACCACCCCACACTTTTTAACACCCCACACTGTAACACCTCACACTAATACCCCACACCCTGTAACACCCCACATTCTCTAACACCCCATATTCTCTAACATCCCACATTCTGTACCACCCCACACTCTGGACCCCCCAGACTCACTGTGGGTGCGGGGGGTCCTGGGGGTGCCGCCGGGGGGGCTGCGGGGTGCCGGTGATGGTGACAGTGACGGTGACACTGATGGTGACAGTGACAATGACGGTGACAGTGACGGTGACGGTGGCGGCTGCAGCGGGGAGCCCTGCAGCAGGCTCAGCCTGCCATCCCCCAGCTGCAGGCTCTTGGGCCGGGGAGCCTTTCCTGCCGCACCCTGGGGAGAGACAAAAACCCTTCAGGAGAGCCCAGAGAGGTGAAATGGGGATGTGACATCGGCACAAAAATGGGGACAGAGGGACAAAGCCCTGCCCTGGGTGACCAAAGGCTCCCTGAGGGATCCCAGGCATTGCCCTCTCCTGGGCTCTTGGGCCTCAGAGCCCTCCCTGCTGCACCCATGGGAGAGCAGAGACAAATCCATTCAGGTGACCCCAGAGAGATGAAATGGGGCTGTGACAATGGCACGAAAATGGGGACAGAGGGAGATGGACACTGTGCCCTGGGTGACCAAATGCTCCCTCAGTGTCCCCAGGCACTGCCCGGCCTCCCCTGGGCTCTTGGGCCTGGGAGCCTTTCCTGCTGCACCCATGGGAGAGCAGAGACAGAATCCCTTCAGAGATTTCACTGTTTCACCCAAAGATGTGAAACAGAGCTGCGACATTGGCACAAAAATTGGGAATGAGGGACAAAGCCCTGCCCTGGGTACCGAAGGCTCCCTCAGTGCCCCCTTTAGGCCTCAGAGCCTTTCCTGCAGCACCCTGGGGAGAGCAGAGATAAAATCCATTCAGGAGAGCCCAGAGAGGTGAAATGGGGACGTGATATTGGCACAAAAATGGGGACAGAGGGACAAAACCCTGCCCTGGGTGACCAAAGGCTCTGTCGGGCCCCGCTTTGTGCCTCAGAGCCTTTCCTGCTGCACCCTGGGGAGAGATAAAAACCCTTCAGGTGACACCAGAGAGGTGAAACGGGGATGTGACATCGGCACAAATATGGGAATGAGGGACAAAACCCTGCCCTGGGTGACCAAAGGCTCCCTCGGTGCCCTCAGGCACTGCCTGTCCTCCCCTGGGAGCATTTGGGCCTCAGTGCCTTCCCTGCACCACGCATGGGAGAGCAGAGATAAAATCCCTTCAGGTGACCCCAGAGAGGTGAAACGGGGCTGTGACATTGGCACAAAAATGGGGACAGAGGGAGGTGGACACCATGCCCTGGGTGACCAAAGGCTCCCTGAGGGATCCCTGGCACTGCTCGGCCTCCTCTGGGAGCATTTGGGCCTCAGAGCCTTCCGTGCTGCACCCTGGGGAGAGACAAAATCCCTTCAGGTGACCCCAGAGAGACCAAACAGAGCTGTGACATCGGCACAAAAAATGGGGACAGAGGGAGGTGGACACCATGCCCTGGGTGACCAAAGGTCCCCTCAGTGCCCCCTTTAGGCCTCAGAGCCCTCCCTGCTGCACCCATGGGAGAGCAGAGATAAAATCCCTTCAGGTGACCCCAGAGAGGTGAAATGGGGATGTGACATCGGCACAAAAATGGGGACAGAGGGACAAAGCCCTGCCCTGGGTGACCAAAGGTGCCCTCAGGCCCTGCTTTGGGCCTCAGAGCCCTCCATGCAGCACCCATGGGAGAGCAGAGATAAAATCCATTCAGGAGAGCCCAGAGAGGTGAAATGAGGACGTGACATCGGCACAAAAATGGGGACAGAGGGAGGTGGACACCATGTCCTGGGTGTACAAAGGTCCCCTCAGTGTCCCCAGGCATTGCCTGGCCTCTCCTGGCTCCTGGGCCTTGGAGCCTTCCCTGCTGCACCCATGAAGGAGAAGAGACAGAAGCCCTTCAGGAACCACCAGGGTGATCCCAGAGAGGCCAAACAGAGCTGTGACATCAGCACAAAAATGGGGACAGAGGGACAAAGCCCTGCCCGGGGTGACCAAAGGCTCCCTCAGTGCCCCCTTTAGGCCTCAGAGCCCTCCCTGCTGCACGCATGGGAGAGCAGAGATAAAATCCCTTCAGGTGACCCCAAAGAGACCAAACAGAGATAAAATCCCTTCAGGTGACCCCAGAGAGGTGAAATGGGGATGTGACATTGACACAAAAATGGGACAGAAGGACAAAACCCTGCCCTGGGTGACCGAAGGCTCTGTCGGGCCCCGCTTTGTGCCTCAGAGCCTTCCCTGCTGCACCCTGGGGAGAGATAAAAACCCTTCAGGAGAGCCCGGAGAGGTGAAATGGGGATGTGACATTGGCACAAAAACCAGGAATGAGGGACAAAGCCCTGACCTGGGTGACCAAAAGCACCCTCAGGCCCCACTTTGGTCCTTCCCTGCTGCACCCATGGGAGAGCAGAGACAAAATCCCTTCAGGAGACCCCAGAGTGACCAAACAGAGATAAAATCCCTTCAGGTGACCCCAGAGAGACCAAACAGAGATAAAATCCCTCCAGGTGACCCCAGAGAGACCAAACAGAGACAAAATCCCTTCAGGAGAGCCAGAGAGGTGAAATGGGGATATGACATTGACACAAAAATGGGGACAGAGGGACAAAGCCCTGCCCTGGGTGACCAAAGGCTCCCTGGATTAGCGTTTCTGTCATAAGAATGATGATTTTTTTTTTTTACCGTTTTGGAAGCTGTCTCCTTCTCCACAATAACCTGAGATTTGCTGATGCTCCACTCCTTCCTCTTGAGTTTGCTGATTCTGCTGTCACCGTCGTCCTTCCCGTCCTCAGCTCGGGACAAGGTGGAAATCCTCCTCTCCAGGAGAGGCTCCAGGGATGATCTGTCACCCAAAAAAATGAGAAAAACACAAAAAAAATGAGCCCACCGGACCTTGAAAGTGCTGTCTGTTAAAAAGCTGTGATCTCCTGGTTTTTCTCAGGGTTTATTGTGAATTAGAGTGGTCGGAGCAGGGATTTTTCAGCGGGATTTGTGCTGTTACCCCCCAAATTCCGAGCGTTCCGTGGTTTTTTTTGAGGTGAAGCGAGCCAGGGCTGCAATTCCTGAAGAATCTCACTGAGCCTGACCCCATCACCCAAACTCCGGGGTTATCCCTGGGATATTTTAGCATCTGTAAATGTTGATTATTTGAAATGTTTAAATGTTAAAGATGCTGAAATTTGAAATCTTTAAATGCTAAAGATGTTAAAATTTGACACCCTTAAACGTTAAAAACATGAAATCTTTAAATGTGAAAAATGTCAAAATTTAAAATCTTTAAGYGTTAAAGATGCTAAAATTYAACATCTTTAAATGYTAAAGATTTCAAATCTTTAAACATTAAAGATGCTGAAATTTGATATCTTTAAAGATTTGAAATCTTCAAACGTTAAAGATGCTAAAATTTGAAATATTTAAATGTTAAAGGTGCTAAAATGTAACATCTTTAAAGGATAAATATTTCAAACCTTTAAACGTTAAA